TAAGGCTGTTTGAAGCCTATGGGTTCTTTCAGACAGGAATCCCAGTCCAAACTTTATTAAACTACAGAAATATTTTTATTAAATGAACTATTATATGGAACCCAATGTGTAAAACAATAATTGAGCGGCCGTGATGAAATGGGAGAGGGTTTGAATTTATGCCCACTTGGCCTTCCCCTTGGACCCCATGTTGACCCTCAGTACCCCAGGAACACCAAAAGCACAGGTCGAGAACCCAAGGCAGGAATCTGATCTTTATTTTCCAGACTGTGGGTCATTCTGCCTGGCTCTGAGAGCTCATTACCTGCTAGGTAGCATGCCCCTTAGCCAGCTATCACTCAAGGGTGTTCTTTCTCTTGGACGGAATTTCTCAGCTTCAACCCACTGGTGGGACTTGTACCCACTGGTCCTCATGAGAAAATCAAAGTAAGCCAATTTCTTCCATGCAACATCTCTACAAATCTTAGAAGACCTCTTATCTTCTCCTCCAAGTTGTATTTGCTCTAAGTTAAACGTTCTTCAGCCTCTCACTACTCTTAAACTGTTCTTAAGTTTCATATATTACTTGAGGATCTAAAATACTAACATCAATAGAAAACATAGGCTAGAAAGGACATCCACTTTAGATAAAACAGAGGCATAACCACAGATACTTAGAAGGCAGTAAAAGAAAATGAGACTTATTATCTCCTACTCTAAAAATAGCCCAGAATATGTCCTCTTTCCCGAGTCTCCTGTGAAGTGGCTGGAGGTTCAGTCCAGCTTCACTCAACTCAGGAATGTGCCTGGGATCACTCCCTGATCTTAGCAGTCACCAAATCAGGAACATGAAGAGGGTGGTTATCAGCAGTGGAGGCACTCAGATCTTACTAGTAGGATCTCAAAATGCCCCTCAGTAGCTGAGCTAGGGACTTCAGGACAGTAAGTGCCTGCCATGGATTTATTTCAGCTGATCTTAACCAACCACATGCATACCTACAGAGTTGCGGACCTAAAATATAAGTGATATTTTATAACTATGGATCCATTAGATGTTGCAGAGCAGGATGTGTTGGCCTGTCAGCATCATTGAGTAATAGTCACTTGATTTCTGATTTGCACCTGTTTTGGGTAGAGCCTGTGTGATCAGAAAGGTGAGTTTCGGAGATTAGGGCTAGTCACATAACTGCACCTCCCCACCACCACTGCACATAAGATTTGAGGTCCCTGGTACCACATGCACACCGGGGTGGTTTGAGACCTGAAGACTGTGCATGCTGTGCAACCCAATAGTGGGAGGACAAAGAGGCTTGCACTTGAGATACCAGGCCCCTTGCAATGCCCACCTTCCTTCAGTGTGACCGTACTCCATCCTTGGCCTGTGATAAGGCTGTTTGAAGCCTATGGGTTCTTTCAGAAACTGAACATGGGCTGATTCATGGGTAACTTATGGAGTGCAAATGGGAAGAGATTTCAGATACAGGGTCCTGGGGCCTAAAGGCTATATCCAGTCAAAGCGTATTGGTGTTTAGCCCTTAACGTGCTCCTATTGTTTGTAAGGGGAGGGTGATAAAGTATCATACTTGCATTCTGTTGGATTTCAAGGAAAACAACAACAATGTGTGTTCTGGTTTGCTCCATTAGAACACTTCCAACTTTTATAAAGAATACGTCTGTCCAGCTGGGCAAGGTGACGCATGCCTGTAATCCCAGCAACTTGGGAGGCTGAGGCAGGAGGATGGCAAGTTCCAGACCAGCCTCAGCAACTTAGTGAGACTCTGTCTCAAAATAAAAAGGGCTGGGGGGATAGCATAGTAGTGCAGTGCCCCTAGAGTCAAACCCCAGTCCAAAAATATGTATTTTTCTGTCCAAGCTTGTCAGGTGTGTATGCAAAGAGATAGAGAAGGACTACAGCACTGATTCCCATTTCTTTTACTTTTTTCACAAACTTTTATTTTGACCCCCTACCTCTTAGAAGAAGCATTGTAGTTTCACATATGTAAGGTCTTTGCTTCACAAATGGATGTTATAGACTCTTTTGAATCTCAAATTGCCACATGCAAATAATGCTAGGCATAAATGAATTAAGGTCACTGGATTGAAGAACCAATGAAACCTGATGTAGGCCAGGAGCTACTATAGCATCAACACAAAGATTTAGGAAGGAAGTCAGTTCAAGGGGAAGACAATGTGTATGAATGTATGTTGTGTGTGTATGAACGTATGTGTGTGCATGTGTACCTAAATTAATTCTCACATACCACATATGTGTAGAAAAAATCTAGCATAAAAATATGAATCAAAATAGGCTCATTCTTAGCTAGGATTTGAGCTATGTTTAAATCCACACTCTGCCTCCTGCTGGCTGTGACTGTGAACAAGTCATTTAACTGCTCTGAGACTAGTTTCCTCATCTATAAAATGGTGTGTTATAGTTGTACATAGTGATGGGATTTGTTGTCATATATTCATACTTGCACACAATATAACAACATAATTTGGCTGATATCACTCCCCAGCACTTTATTGTTTGTATTCTTGATGACTACAAATGGCAACAATTTTAGGGTGCAAGGTTCTGATGAGGATTCAGAGAGAGAGTGGATGTGCTGTGCATGATATTAAACCAATAAACATCACTTCCAGAGGATTCATTTTGACCAAAATTGGTTGACTTCCTTTCCTCCTTCTGAAGGTCCATGTTGTATGAATGGGAAGGACAATATGAAGGGAAGATGGAAGGCAGAGAAGGGTCAAGGAGAAAAGAACTTCTTGACCATGTAAGGAACTTACTTTAGCGCTACTTGTCTGCTCTAGAATAATTCCCTAAAGACTACCCAGGAACTCAGAGAGTCAGAGATAGGAGGGTCACTCACTGGGGGTGTGGGGGGGGTTGGACTTAGAGCATCTCTAAGTCCCTTGCCATGGTGTTTTATACACTACAAAATGCTGTGCCGTTTTACTTATTTGATTTCATGTTTAAAATTATCCTAAATAAAGGATAAATAAAAGCATAACTAAGAATCCACTGAGCTACGCCCACAGCTCAAAGATTGTAGCTCAGTGGCAGAAAGCTTGCCTAGCATGCTTGAGGCCGTGAGTTGTATCAACCAAATCTGAGTTGCTCAAAGGGATCATCTAGGAACTAGCTCTTGTTATTACTGTGGTTTTCTCTGTTTATGCTGCTTCCAACATGACGATGGATGCTGCCACTGCTGCTGCCCTGCCCATTTGCCCCAGCTGACTGGATGCCCCAGTGTCAACAATGCATGGTTTTCAGCACTTGCATGTTCCATGTCAGGTATCTGTGCTTCTCAACCCTCTGAGTGCTTTCTCAAGAACAAGGAGCTTGCAGCTTGCAAGAAATTCAACCTGGGAGGGTAGGGAAGAGGAATGTATTGACCTTTCCAGGAAACCCTTCATGTCAACCTCTGGCAATGTTCCATGTGGTTTCCAGAGGGGACCCCAGCAAAATGAGCCCCAGGTGCCCACAGTGGTAATAACCCTCATAGAACAAGTACTTCACTGGCTTCCCACCTTCTTCTCTCATTTTTCCCACTTTCTCAAGTGTCCCTCCTGGAACCACCTCCTATATAAACAACCAGCACCAAGTCTTTAAGGGGTCTACTTTTAGAGAAAGACTCTAAAATCCATGTGGTTGCTGCTACCATTGTTACTTTTTTAAATGACTTTACAGTCCCACCAAAACCCCCACAAAAATGTAATAATGACTAGCAGTGGCTGATCAGTCATAACCTGAAAATAATACTTTCCAGATTTGAAAAAGTAAAGATACCATCCTCCACCAAGCAGCCAGTAACTCCTCCAATTTCATGAAGAATCAGTCTTGCCAACCACCACTCTGATTTGAAGGCAGAGTGGCGAAGGGGCTCTGCTGATACGAATCCAGCTTGGATTTTCTGGCTATTAAACAACAGATTTTAGAATACATCCAAAAAGTAGGATGTTGTTTCTCAATTTATGAAAATAATATTAAGATTTGTATAATAATCATATATAGTCATAATATATAATTCATAATATTAAGAGAAACTATGTATATGATCAAAGCATTTACATTATGGAGAACAAGTGGTCTCAATGTGCATTCTAGATTTATCAGCTTTGCACACATATTTTGGAAAGGTTTTGAGAGATTTTAATATTATATTTTAATAATGACCAGTCATCTTTTTTAGTAAAAAATGAGAAGATTCCCAGATTCTGGTATTTGACTTTATAGTTAACCGTGTAGGCTCTATGGGCTGAAAATGTTTCCATTTTTAAAAATATGACAGCAGGATGCATTACAATTCTTATTACACATATAGAGCACAATTTTTCATATCTCTGGTTGTATACAAAGTATATTCACACTAATTTATGTCTTCATTGTACTTTGGATAATAATGATCATCACATTCCACCATCATTAATAACCCCATGCCTCCTCCATTCCCCTCCCACCCCTCTGCCCTATCTAGAGTTTGTCTATTCCTCTCATGCTCCCTCTCCCTATCTCACTATGAATCAGCCTTCTTATATCAAAGAAAACATTTGTCATTTGGTTTTTTGGGGATTTGGTTAACTTCACTTAGCATTATCTTCTCTAACTCCATCCATTTGGCTGAAAATGCCATGATTTTATTTTATTTTATTGCTGAGTAATATTCCATTGTGTATATATGCCACATTTTTTTTATCCATTCGTCTATTGAAAGGCATCTAGGTTGGTTCCACAGTTTAGCTATAGAGAATTGTGCTGCTATAAACATTGATGTGCTTGTGTCCCTGTAGTATGCTGTTTTTAAGTCCTTTGGGTATAGACTGAAGAGAGGGATAGCTGGGTCAAATGGTGGTTCCATTCCCAATTTTAAAATATATGTGTATAAAATTCTCTCATGGAGGTCAATAATAGCACAACCAACTGAAAAGTGATGGGTATTTTGTCTGCATTATGTTCTGGTCCAAAGATGCCGGACTGAGAAGTTTTACACAGTAAGTCCACACATGTTTTGCTTTATAAGAGTCTAAACATTTATTTAACAAAATGAAATTTTCTAATATCTTGCACTTTTCTACACTTAAAATTCCAGGGAAATGAGACTCACATTCTACTGTATACAATATTACAAAAAAAAAAGAGTTCATTATAAATTTAGAACAGCTATAACACCTTTTCTAATGATTAGGATTCATCATCCTTTAGTGAAGCAAGGTGACATTTTCTTGTGGAAAAAGCCATACTTTTGTCAGAGACGTGTCAATAGCACAACCTTATCTCTGATTTGACCTGTCTGTCAGAGCATTACTTTCACCAATAACACAAGTGGAATTCCACTTCTCTATTTTGGTTCCCAGGTCTAGTGAAAACCCTTTTAAGTTAGGAAAAACTCAAACCTGTGAACAAAAGGTTGGGGGTTGTTTTAATTCATCCTCTTTACTCACATACTGCTGTATAAAGTCAAGGTGTTCCTGGTGAGTGTTCTCACATGCTGATTGCTGTGCATGTAGATATCATTAATGTGAATGTGTGGGAGAATTTGCAATAATGTGTAGCACCCAAGAGAAAGAACAACAGCCCCCCCCCTCATTTGAATTCTTGCTCTTGCAAATTCTGAAAGCCAAGGATCACTTATGCCTTACAGAATCCGGGGGCTCTATCCCCAGATGCAAAGTACATTTTCCAGGTTTCTCCAGGGCAAAGGCAGGGTGAACACCCTCATTAAACCTGTGCCTCACAATAAAAAGCAACTGTCCACTCTCAGCATTTATGAATAGAAGTCTCTGGTTGTTGTAGTCTAGCAGAATGCCCACTCTGGCTGGATGTTCTGTCACATGAACATCACTCACAATTCCACTGTAGAAAAATGTGTACCTGAAATGAAACAGAATGGGACATTTTAAAACTTGGAAAAACTTGAAGGATTTGATAAGGAGAATCATTGGTAGATGACCAATTTTTTTCAGTTACAGACTTCAATTAAAAAATAATGAGTTGCAATAATGTGATCCCCAATACTTTAACCAGATTCCTCCAAGATGCTAAAATGCATGGCTCATCTCAACAGACAAGCATTTTTAATAATTTTGCTCCTTTTGCATTAGGAGGCAGTCCCAGAATAGCCAACATATGCCTCCCTTGTGATTTTTCTCAACATTCTAATTCTTTCCCCGCTGCCCACATGTTTTAACTGCCGCATTCATGGTGTGTCATTCTTTTGAATAAGACTCCTTTGAGGCTGCCATGTATTTTTAAAAGTACTGCATGCTTGCCTTCCATACAATGCATTAATTTTTACAGTTTTACCAACTTATAGGAAACTTACATAAGGGCCTTTATGAAGTTTAAGAAAAATTTCATCATTTTTGCCAACTTCATGTTCTCCCAGCCCTAAACCAACTTTCCATTTCATCTTGATGTTTTTGGCATTCTTGCAGCTAGAAGCAGTTGCCTTCCTTTCTCTCTTTAATTCAAATACAGTCAGTTCAACAAGTGTTCCTTGGGCATATATGTGTATCCAGCACTTCCCTAGGAACTCTGTGGGACATGAATGACTACAGAAGGATGTCCTTGCCCTCTGGGAGCCCATATAATATAACACAGGCAGGAAAAAACTGTTACTAACTTAAATAAGAGTAGGGCTGAGAAACTATGTCAGGGCATAGAACGTTCAATTGTTTACTCAACACATTTAATGCACCTGTTTAGTTGTGACGGAAAAGGCGGGAGAAATTGCTGACCAGAAAAGCATAATTTCCCCATGCAAAAAAACCCCACAAGTTTGGAGGTTTGCCCTACCAGTCCTAGAAACTAAGAGTGAGTCCCTGACAGCCGGAGAAGGGAAGGAATGAGAGATGGAAGAGAAGAAAAGACATGAGAGAAAAATCTATGTATGAAGTAGAGCTATGTGGTGACTGGGGTTTCAGGTGTGACTAGGGAGGGGGTCTGTTGTTCTTTCTCTTGGGTGCTACACATTATTGCAAATTATCCCACACATTCACATTAATGATAACTACATGCACAGCAATCAGCACGTGAGAACACAGGAACACTTTGACTTTATGCAGCAGTATGTGAGTAAAGAGGTGACTGGTCAGGCAAGGAGAGTCAAAAGACCTCTAGACCTATAATGTATGCCTTAAAGCCCAGAAGTTCAAGGGCAAGTACTTAGGAAATGGCAAGTTGACAGCTTCACTGCAGAGAAAAGCTCAAGTGGGAAGGCAGAGATGACAGGAGATGGGGAGATAAGTAAGATGCATGTGTTGACCAAAGGCCTTTTCAAAGCCTTGTTAATGAGAGACACAACCAATTATGGAGTTCTAGAATCTGGAGGGCAGACGTGTGTTTCAGGTAGCAACTGAGACCCTGAATTTCAACATTGGGGCTGCTACCCCGTGGGCTCCCCATCCCTCAACCTGGTCCCATTCTTTTGGGCTTCCTGTACCCTGAAGGTAGTCCCACCTGAGTTCTGACATTACTGAAGATGTTTGTAGATTTTTGAACATAAAAGGAAGGGATACAATGAAAACGATGTTTAGAAACACTTTTCATCTGTGGCATGTAGAACAACTTGGAGTGGGCAAAGAATAGCAGCCAACAAATAGGCAGGGTGGCTGTGGTAAAACCAGTAAAGGAGGTGAGGGAGGCTTGGGCTAGGCTGGCAAAGAGGAACAGATAGGAAGACAGCCAGTGAATGCTCCTGAGACTATCCTCAGATCTCCTTTCCAACTGTGACACATTAAAGCTCAGATTCCATGTGAGCAGAATCAAGATTAATATAGCTTGAGTTAAAATCATTAAGCCAGAAAAAGTGAAAAATATAGGAGGGTCTATGGCAGCTGCTCTCCCTGAACCTTAAGTCCCCAGGTTCTCTATGCTGAGACCTCAGAGCAAGAAATGAAGGTGCCTGAGGCTGACCTCACTGTGCTGTGGCCAAAGAGGTCCCTGTCCTCTTCCTTGCAGTATCCCCCCTCTAGGCCTGAAAGAGCCAAAGACCAAATTTGTAGGTTTGAACTTGTCAACAAAATACACAATATATTTTCTATATCCTAGAAATTTTTTTATTGGAGGCTAGTCTTTGGTTTGGGTTCTTATGGATTATTGTGAAATAAATACCTAGTTTTGGCTCCAGATCTGATTGTAAATTCTGGATTTGAGTGATTTCAAATTCTGGGCAGGGGCTGAGTCCTTAAGTATGGCACAGCACTGAATATCAATTAATCTTAATTGCTCTGACTTGATGAAATGTGACTTTAAATAGCACTTGGAGATGGTGTCCTTATGAACCTTCTCAGAGACTCAAACTGTCAAGTAGGATGCAGGGAGAAATGTGCAGCCAAAGATATGCAAAATCTCAATCTGTGGGCCTTTTCTGGGAACTTGCAAGCACTGAAGACTTCCTTTTTAAAGTCTTACATTTGAATAATGTCTCCCATTTGTACACTTTACAATGTCAAAACTCTCCCCTGTCCCTGATTTCATGTGATCCTCATAACCCCAAAGATAGTAGACCAGCTATTACTGTTCCCTGCTGAGACAGGCAAATCATATGAGGCCCGCTTAAAGGGTTAACCAGATTATGGTGAGCACCAAAAGGAATCTAATCAAGGATGGAGCCAGGACTAAAATCAGGGTTTCGGCTCCCAGTTCAGTGCTCTTTCTATTGGACCCTTCCGTGAGCATATCCAGATCACAACATGCTTGCCTTATCTCTCTGCAACCAACACAGGTTCACAGCTTTTTCACATCAACCAACCAAACAATACGAATAATGTAGACCAGGGCTAGACAAACTTTCCGTAAAGGGACAGATAATAAATATCTAAGCATTTGCAGGTCATTCAGTCTCTGACAGATCTGCAAAAGTAGTCACAGATACACAGTAAATGAGCATGACTGTGTTCCAATAAAACTTTATTTACAAAAACAGGCAGAGGGTCCTATTTGGCCAATGGACCATAGTTTGCCAAACCCTGATATGGATGAATGCCTGGGGAGTGCTGGGGATCTACTACTTCTTCCTTTTAGCATCATCCTGTGGTCTCCATCCACCTGGGGTGACTTTAGAAGGAAAATCTGCCCATGCATAATCTAGCAGTTCCTTTCTCTTCCCTATCTCTTGGTCATGAGCTAACTGGGGAGACACATATCCTTCCCTCCCCCTCCAGTCTGCTCTGCATGGCAGGGAGGCTGGCCCAGCCAGGGCTCTAACAGTTGGGTAAGTCTTCTTAATAATAGAACTCAATATAAGGAACCCTCTTGCCCACATTATGATTATGAAGATGCTCTACATTCTCTAAAACCAACTTCCTCAGTAAGCAGAGAAATATTTTAGTCTCTATATACTTATTTGACTCTTGTTGTGCTTCTCAGCTGGCCCAGAACTTGGGTAGAAAAGTGGGATGCTCTTTGTTACATCCCTCAGGGAGTCCTGCCAACACATCTATGCCTGACATTTGGATTTAGTGAGGAGAGGCAAGGCTCTGGCTTACCTCTGTGGCTCAGAGCAGTGCATGTACCATGAGGTCTCCCCTTGTCCCAGAGCCCCAGCCCGCACAGCTGAACTGGAACAGATGCCAAGTCGATATGCTGGGCAGTCTGTGACTGTGGTTTCCCAGTAATGTTGACCACAGGCAGGCAGCTCCTCACCCAGCACTGAGGGGACTCTGCAGGCAAATTGATAAGATTGAGCTTAGCACAGGAATCAGCAGCCTTTATCTATGAGTATCAACAATCAACTTCACACACCCTTTGCCAGAATTCTGTCTTTGGAAACTGCCGGAATTTGAGGACATTCTGTGTTCATTGTGCTCCTACCAATAGTCAGACTGCCCCAGAAATTCCCCAAACTCTCACCATGCTTCTGACATATGTCCCCTGTCTCATACAATACGCACATATGGCACCTTGCATCTCTTAAGAGAGCTGGAGAGCAGGAAATAACTAGAATAATGGTGGGAAGAAAAGAAACGGCACAATCTCTGCTTTTACAAAGAGACAGGAAATACAAGGAGGAGAAGGTGAGGACTATGACTTGCAAGGTTTTCTTCTAAAACTTGCAAAAAAGGGAATCTCCAATATCTTTAGCAATGAGTTCCAGTTTCCACTGACTTCCTTGGACACAACAACCAAAAGAGTGGAGGCTCTTAAATGGCAAGACAGCTGGGAAGCCAGAGCAGAGCAGGGTGTGGAATTGGCCAAGTCTGATTAGGGGGCTTTGCAAAGGCTTTGGTCCCCAGTCTTCATGACTCTGATCTCTTGGATTGGAGTAGGTATCCCTGAGAGGTTGGTTAAAGGCCTCTTTTTGTCTCATCCTATTTTTATAAGAGGCACAGAGAAATGGACCAAAGCACTTTCTGCTGCTGATGTGTGACCTTGTTTGCATGAATTGCTCAGTTTTGCTTAGAAATGGCTGAGACAGCAAGGAGGCATTTTTAATTTCAGCAGCGTTAATATTCAGTCAGCACCTCTCCCTCTCCCTTTAACAGATGAGAAAATGATGAATGCAAGGCAATGTATTTCACTTTCTCATGTCTTTACCCAACAACCTCATTTGAGAGAAGTGGCTACTGACAAGCCCTCACTCCCTGGAGCAAAGCTCTGCTGCCTGATATTTATGAGCTAATTTTCAGGTTAATAATAAATAAATAAAATTCTATAAAATACATTTTACAGTTTTCATCAGTTATTATCTATGAACCCTTACCAATCTCCAGTACATTCTTTTTTCTTTTTTTTTTTTGAGAAATCCAAAAAAGTCAGAAAAGTTCAGTCTATTTCTCAAATCTTTTTTTTTCCCCTCTGAATTCACTCGTGTATATTTTTAGCACCTATGATATTCCAGGTCCCATGTTAGATTGTGGGGATTCAAAGATGCATGAAGCAGGGCTGCTGTCCAACAGTTATTTATGATTGAGTGGTTGGCAAAAGACTTCACAAGTTCTTACTCCTTTTACACATATTAAGATCAGAAGTTACCAGGGCCCAGAGAAGGCTTGACCATTTCCAGGAGCAGGTGACACCTGAGCTGTGCCACAGACGGGCAAGAAACAGCCTCATGGGGAAATAGTCAACTGGCTGCTGGGGACTTTAGTGTGAGCTCTCGATGGCAGCCAACAGCTGGGCACATCAGCCCCCAGCAGCTTGTTTCGAAAGATGTGCACTTACTTTCTCCCATTTGGCCATCCTGACCCTCAAAATAATCATGAGAGGTTGCAGAAAAACTGCAGGCCAGTCACCTCACCCTACCCTGTTTTTGGTTCTTGTTTTCTTTGATGCTTCTATTTGTGGGAGCCACTATAGGGGCAAGATTCTGTGGCCAGAACTAGGAACTCAAGAAAGTGCTCTCTATTCTCTTCTTTTTCAAGTGGTTGATATAAAATCTAGTTTGCTATTGAAATGATAGAATTATTAACTGGACTCTAGTTTTCATTGAAACAGAGATAATACCTTAAAACAGCCAGTGTTTTAACCCAAACCATCTGAGTTTATATTCCGAATAACAATATTGAGACTTGCTCCAAGTTATGAACGCTCACTGCCACGTTCCCCTTCCTGATAAACCCCGACAGCTAGAAGGGTGTGCACATATTAATATTCAAATTGCATCCAGGCAAGTTAATTAAACCAAGGATACACTCAGGTGAGGCCACGCCAAGGCAACTCACTCCAACACCACTGCTGAGTGTCAGCCGCTTGTACTTTCTTCCTCTACTTACTCTCTTAGCCGTCTCCTCTCAGTGAAGCTGATCACTGTCCCATTGGAGGAAATCTGCAGGGCAGGATGAGCTGTTTCTCTCAACAAGAGAAATCTGGTTCCTGTGGCAATTAAGAAAACAGAATGACAATATTACCACAATGGCAAGGGCTACCCCAAGCTCCACATTTCAGACCTAGGCTTCCTTTCCCCTGATGTCAAAATCCCTTGCTCAGGGTTTCAGATACACAGCTGAAATGTCATTTCAGGCATTAGTGGATGCCTGGCTGGTTACCTCTGGCTGGTGCTGCAGGGATATCCTCCTCGGTGTATCCTGTGCTAGAGCTCACTCTGCTATGCTCCTTGGACCAGCAGCGTTCACATTCCTGGAAACTAGTTAAAAATGCAGAATTTCTGGCCCCCTCCCAGACCTCCTGAATCAGAATTTGTACTTTAACAAGCTCTTCAGAAGATTTGGGTGCATATTAAAATTAGGGGTGCACTGGTATAACCTATAAGAAAGGTCCTAATGAGGGATGGTACAGGCACCATATTGTAGCGACAGAGACACCATTCCTGGGTAAAACCCTCACATCTTCTCTTCCTGAACTCCAAGCTGGCCCTCCCTAGGAAAACAAGCAATCACCATGCACAAGCTTTTGCTGGTTAAGCAAATGACTTAATGTGGCCCCCTCAATCCTGTGCCATCTCTAAATCTAGAATAAGGTAATAAAATGATCACTTTTCCATTCTTCACTTCCTTTTCACAATAACTGAGAATGACTAAACATTTTATTGTTGGCATCTTCTGGGTATTTTTCCCAAAATGTCATTGAACAATTTTATGACTTGAGTTACGCATCTATTCATTCATTCATTCAACAAATATTAATGAGCACAAATGAGAATAAGCAGAACAAGACTGGAAACTTGCCAGGCCTGTAATCCCAGCAACTCGGGAGGCTGAGGCAGGAAGATCATAAGTTCTAAGTTAGCCTCTGCAATTTAGTGAGGCCCTAAGCAACTTAGCAAGACCGTCTCAAAATATAAAATAAAAAGAGCTGGGGAATGTGGCTTAATGGTTAACTGCACTTGGGTTCAGTTCCTGGTACAAAAAAGAAAAAAAAATACTGGAAACTTCTTCACAGAGTTTCTCTCTCTCTCTCTCTCTCTCTCTCTCTCTCTCTCTCTCTCTCTCTCTCTCTCTCTCACACACACACACACACACACACACACACACATCTACAAATTACATACATTGTGAGACACAAATCATCTGGAGAGATTTCTAAAACCACAAATATTCAAGCCTATCCCCAGATGAATTAAATCAATTTCTCTGGGAGTGGGGCCAGGGCATCAATATTTTTTAAGCACCCTGACTGATTGCTAATAGCAGCCAACTTTGAAAACCTCTGAACCAGAAAATAAAAGAAACATCTAGACCCCTGACCTTGGGACCTTAGGACAGAAACCTAGCACTGACAGTAGGTTGGTACCTTTATGAAGTTTCCCTCAAGGATCTCTTCTCTGGGTGGTAGAAAGGAAGAGAAGAAAATACAGATATGGCTTACTATGTATAAAGGAAAAAGTACCTCTGGTGGAGACGAGAGCAGCTTCACTCTGTTCACTTGTCCCAAATGCATTGATGGCTCTCACGTAGAAAAAGTAATTGTCATTGGGTTGGAGGTTAACCTTTAACTGCAGTCCTTTAATTCCAGAGAAGGATCTAAATACAGAGGGAAAATAATTTTAAATTTAATGACTCATTTCATTTCTGCAATAAAATAACATTTTTATTAATAACAAATAACTTATTTTCTTCTTTTTATTACCATAGATGTGACCATTGTTATCAAGACAGATTCTATAAAATGGCCATTGTCCACTAAGATTATTTTATCAAATTACTTCTATTTTTGTCAGCTTTTGACAAGTATGTGTCTTCCAGAATGCTCTTTGGAACAGAACCAGACAGCTTTAAAAAAAAAAATCTGAAGAAAGACATAATTTTGTGGTTAACGAATCTCTAGGAATATATTTATTTTATTTATTAATTTTTGGCTGAGAGGACACTTTGGGATTAAGATGATGTTAAACCAATTTATAATATGAAGGAGCCTAATTATCTCATTAACATATCCCAAATGTGGAAGCTTAGTTTAAGTAATGATGATCTTGTATATTGTCATTATGCCAAAGTCATCAAAGTTAATAGAAACTGCAAATCTTTAAGAAAAAATATATATATTATTTATTTACTTTTTGAGGTGCTGGGGATCAAACTCTGGGCCTCACACATGCTAGGCAAGCCTCCTACCACTCAGACGCATCTCCAGCCCAACAAAATCTTTTAAAGCCAACAATTCTGGGCAGAGGGTGGGGGAGGCCCCTCAAAGTTTTCCCAAAAATGTCTTCCTCTTAAAGTTATTCCTACATCATTCGTTTAAATTAAAAGAAAATTGCTGGTAGTGGTATCTAGTTGGCAGTGAAGTAGGCAAGTATACCACTTAAATATAAGTAGTACTGCTGAATTTGAAGAAGGCACTCTCTGGAGTTGCCAATGAGCTGGAATAGTTTTGAGCTTCTTTTCCATTCTCTTTAATCTGCTTGATAACATGGCCTAGAGCATAGATACAAAAAAAGCACACAAGCCTCTTTCTTTAAGCCTCCGTTTAGAAAAGCCTAAGAAGAGCTACAAGTTAGGCTTCTTGCTAATGGAAGAATTCCTAGCCTAGCTGCTAGGGAGCCAGAGCCCTGTTCCTAGGAGATGTGCACTGGATGGTAGTCAATGAAAATAACAGCACGATTGCTTTCACATTCATCTTCAGGAGGGTTGGAGGGGGTTTTGTTTGTTTGTTTGTTTATTTCTTCATGTCTCAAAACCCACCTTAGAGAGTAACATGGAGAATTAGAAAAACATATCATTGACTCAGAAAACTAATCAAAAACTTCTTAAAAGCAAACAATCTGTATGGAATAACATTCCTGCCCCTGCCCCATGTCTAAAAGTACAAAATCCACAATTTAGTCCTAACAAGGAAGGGGAGGAGAGCAGGCTGGACCTATCTGTGTATCTGCTTTTTGGTGCCTGTGCCTGGAAAATGTCTGTACAAACTCTTCAAATTATACTGGTTGCTATTTCTGACCTGTCACCTGACCAGGCCCTCCATAGAGAATTATCTTTAGATGCACTGAGGATGGATGGATGAGCATGATCCCCGTGACCACTGACAACTAACTATCTGCAGTTAGTTAATGGAAAACCATGTTCTATGACTGGGAATGTAATTCCTGACTAATATCTACAATATTATTCTAGGGTACATGTACTGCTTATCTTATTTAAATTGATGATTAAAATATGTTTTAAATGAACATTAATTATAATTAGTAATAAAGTTATTGTCTCAATAAGCATACTCAGCCTGAACTGAATTTCAGACTTCATTGACTCATTAAATAAATATTTACGGATCACTTGCAATGTTTCCAGGCCCTATCTCTGCCTGTCACCCTGATGCCTGAAGGGGAAGTGGCAAGGACAGATAAGGAAATTTTAGCTCTAGATACCACACAGAATACACTGGCTTCATTTTGTGACAATGCAGCTGTTACATACCAAGTATGCTGCTTTTTAGGGAAGTATTTGCTTTCCAGTTATATAAAGTCTGCCAAGGAGGAAATTCCATATTCATCATTGACCACATGCTGTGTCTCATTACTCAGGTGAAAAAAGAAAGGTTTACATGACACTGAAGTAAAATATGGGATGACGTTGTGTTTTCAGTGTTTGAAACAGGTCGTGTAGGTTCAACAAACATGAATAAGACACTCATTGAATCCGTAAAATAAAAGCACCAGGCACAAAAACAAAAGTACTATGAAGTGTGGTGATGTTTAATTGTTCACAAGTTGCCATGTCATGCTCAAGCACCGAGAACAAAGTGAAAAAGATCAGATTCAACGGCTCATTGCCATGTCTGTTCATCCCATCTGAATCCACTCAGATGTCATCCAAGTTTTCGTGTCAGCTGTCCCTGCTTTTAGTCAAATGAAAACAAACACTTTTGGAATTTGTAATCTGAAGAGTGGTGCCCTTCCATAGAGTATGACTTTCTTATTTCAAAAACAAAAAAACTCATAATTGCAACTCAATCCACATGGCTCATAATGAACTTTATACCTAGTTTGCATTAGAATTCAAGTTCACAGGATACCCAAAGTATAAGTTTATAAGTCCCCAAATCTCTCCATCAATGGGACAAAGGACCTTTGTTAAGCTCCAACACTGTAAAGCAGAAAAACAAGACTTACAGGAGACCTGCTGTCTCCTCAGAAACCCAGAGGACTGTCTTGTGGGTGAGACACTGGTCTCCTTGGCCATTGTTTCAGAGGGCAAACACTGGAAGCCACTAGAAGGCTGATAGATGCTCAATGTAAGAAAGGGCTTTCAAATATCAGTAAAGTAGAGGGAAGGGAACAGGGATTGGGATGAGGGGAGGCAAAGGGGAAGTACTGGGGATTGAATTAGAGCAAATTATATTCCTTGATTTTATAATTATGTCAAAGTGAATCCTAATGTTATGTTATAACTAAAAAGAAGAAGAAGAAAGAAAGAAGGTCTTCATAGCTCGAGTCCTTTCACTCTTTAGTTTTTGCAAGGAATAACTGGGAAATTTACCACCACTGACCATGGATAATAGGGCAAGAATCATGTAAAGTAAGAACTAAAAAGGAGCTTCAGAAAATAAGAAATCATTAGGGACACAATGCATATGGGTTGGGAATTACTGAATGCATTAAGTCAGAGACATGAAATTAAAAGAAAAACGGGGTAGCTGGGATTGTGGCTCAGTCGTAGAGTGCTCATCTCACATGTGTGAGGCACTGGGTTCAATCCTCGCACCACAAAAAAATAAATAAATAAAATAAAGGTATTGTGTCCATCTACACCCAAAATAAATATTTTTTAAAAATAAGAATTGGGTTCCTATACTCCAAAGACAAATCAGCTGGAAGAGAAATTAGGGAAACCATCCTATTCACAACAGCCTCAAAAAAAAAAAAAAAAAAAAAAAACCTTGAGAATCAATTAACAATCTAAGAGGTGAAGAACTCTAGAATGAAAACTAAAGACCACCAAAGAAAGAAATTGAGGGAGACATTAGAAGATGGAAAGACCTTCCATGTTCTTGGATAGGCAGAATTAATATTGTCAAAATGGCCATACTACCAAAAGTGCTGTACAGATTCAATACAATTCCCATTAAAATTCCAATGATGTTCTTCATAGAAATAGAAAAAGTGTCCTTTTGAAAGAATAAAAGAACTAGAATAGTCGAAGCAATCCTTAGAAAGAAAGATGAAGCAGGAAGCATTACAATACCAGACCTTAAATTATACTACAGAGCTATAGTAACAAAGAAGGCATAGTAGTAGCACCAAAACAGGAAAGAAGACCAAAATAACAGAATAGAAGACACAGAGACCAACCCATAATAATCAAAACAGTGCAGTGTGGGACAATAACTAGATGAGTGAATGGAACAGATTATAAAGCCAAACACATAATCTCCTGAATACATACTTAATAATAATGAAAGCATTTCAAATAAAAAGGAGAAATGATAGGTTTTATTGTTAGAAGAGCTGGATAGTCATACTAAAATAAATAAAGTTGGATATCCTACTTCCTATTCAAATAAATTCCAAATGATAAAATATCTAGTTTTAAAAATAAAATTATCAGCTATTATACAAAGCCTGGGAGAAAAATATATATATATGTATATATACACAGAGTGTGTTTTTATGTGTGCAAGAGAGTGCGAGAGAGAGAAGGCATTTTAAAATATTACACAAAAAAATAAAAGTTATTTTCAAAAAAGACTGATAAATTCAACTATATTAATATTAAAAATGCATGGCAAAAAATATCAAAGTTTCACAACTCACATCACACATGAAAGCAACTTCCTTCCTCAAAGGGAAAAAAAAAAAAAGCTTCTACAAATCAATAAGAAAAAAATGCCCCAATCTAACAGGGAAAAAAAAAAAAAGTAAATCAAATGAACAGTTCATAAAAAGGAAGTATACAGCTCTGAAATGTAAGAAAAGATGTTCCATCCAACAATAGAAATGCATGCTTTAACTATAATAAGATTCTATTTTCTATATATCAAAGATTGTAAGTTTTATCATATATATAGGCAAAGGTACAAGCCAAGCACCCTTATACACTGCTAGCCCAGCATCAACTTTATGACCTCTAAAGGACACAGTTTGGTGATATCTATCCAAATTTAAAATGTCTTTTAACCAGTCATGCTCCTTTGAGAAATTTATCCCACAAATGATATTTGCACATGTGTGGAATTATATGTGTTCCATGTTGCTCACTGCAGCATTGTTTATGCTAGCCGGAGAATGGAACAACTTAAATGTCTCTCAACTGGTCAAATAAATTAAATTATAGCATTAAAACAGAATGCAATGGAGTTGTTTTTTAATCGAGGCAGTTCCAAATGTATTGATATGGGATGCTTCCCAAGGCGAAAATTTTTAAGCAAGAAAAGCAAGGTGGTTGAAATATACACAGTATACTTCCATTTGTTGAAAAACTACAGATGCTTGTATATGCACAGACTGTCTAAAAGTATACATATATGAATCAGGTAACAGTAGTGGTCTCCTAGGATGAGAAGTGAGTAGGTAAGAATAGGGTGA